TCAATTTAGCTCCTTTTCACCTATTTTAATTACACAAATGAGAAAATTAATTATTTTGAAAGGAATACTAAAATAAAAATCACTCGCCTCATCTTGTCGTCTCGACCTGCTACATTTGTTCAATCAACAGGTTGCTCTTGCTAATTTTCCTGATTTGTTGTGTCACCTCTGACCCCAACGATTTGGTTGTCCTGGTTTTCCTAGTTTGCAGCCGTGCTATGCGTCTTCCTTGAAACCATTCAGAGATTCACCTTCTTATTGGATTTTCAACCAATAGGAGGTTCGGGCCATCTTTTATTAACGGTGAAAATTCGTCAACTTGAATTAACTCTCTCCAAGGAATACTAACATGCAAATCGAAAAATATTAAATGCTAAAAATAAAGAACGCAACATTGATAGAAGTTCAGTAATATGTCATCTTTGGAGCTATGAGCTTTTCACTATATTCTCAAAAGTACAAGAAGAACAAAAAATCTCTTAGAGCTTCAAGTTGTCTATCCGTCCTTATAAGGAATTTCTAGTCTCTATTTATAGATATTTTATCTCAATCAGATTAGGGCTCTCAGTATCTCTTTATCCTCTTGGGATTTTAAGATAATATGTTTAGGCGTGACAATTCGTGTCACGTGTCGTATTCTTGTCATGTTTTGATCTTTTTTTTTAAATTTACAGCCAACCCGAACACGACCCGTGACACGAAATTATTTAAAAATCACAATACGAACATGACACGACCACTTTACGAGTTGACACGACACGACCCGTGACACGAAATTGACCCGTGAATCCGAGATCGACACGAAAATTGTATACTTTTATTTAGCTTTTTACATATTAAAAATAACTTAAAATTCATAACACACTAAATTACAATAACATCCATTGAAATTAAGCAAATAAAGTATAAGATTTTGAGTATAACTATCATGATATGATAAGTTCATAATAAAATTTAAAATATGAAATGAAAAATATATGTATTTTTTAGTTTTTTACGAGTTTCGTGTCGTGTTTGGGTTAGGTGGGTCCAACCCGAAATTGACCTGTGTTTTTCGTGTCAATTTCAGGTCAACCCGATTCTGATCCGAACATCTTTTTTCTCAACCCTAACCCGCAAAATTCGTGCCATTTTCGAATCGTGTCGTCGTATCGTGACTCATATTGCCGGCCCTAAATATGTTATCCCTTCGTAAATCATGGGATTTATCTCCTAATTACAATTTGAATTCATATTTGAATCTGGTACACTTTATCTTATCTTGTAGATAACCTCTTGACTATTTGGATTTATTGATTTATCCTGCCACAGGCATTATCTGACGTGGACTCTTGAAGTAGCTTCGAGCATGATGGCGTGAGGTCGAAGCTTGTTGTAGCGTCGGCGATGCGTAAGTCGTAATAGTTCCCTCATGGTGGCTTTTGTTTTCTTTGCTTTCACTGTCTGGTTCCTCTTTGCCTTTTCCGTTTCGTGTGTCTGTGGCCCTTCTTCTCATGGAATAATAAATTTTCAAATTAGCAAAAAAAATAAAATAATAATAATAAAATTTAACGAGGAAAACAAATGAAAAATTAGACACAACCATATAACTGAAACAACAGCAAGGAGAAAGCTGACGTTCCATTAATGCCCAAAATCAATAAACTACGGGAGAAAGAGGAAAATAGGCTAAGACTTGAGATGAATTAAAATTAATAGGCCAATAGTTTACATAAATTAATAAATAGGCCAAATTACTGTTTTTGTCTATAACTTGTCTAGTTATGAACCATAACTTGACAAGTTGTTGTCCATAAATTACGGTTTTTATCCATAACTTGTCTGGCTATGAACCATAACTTGTTAAGTTTGTTCATAACTTATCTGGTTATGAACCATAACTTGACAAGTTATGGCCTATCAATTTCTATAACTAAAAGTTGGTCTATATACTTCCTTAAGCTTTTCATATTGGCCTATTTTCTACTATTTCTGATAAACTATTAGAGGTCAAATGTGGGCTTAAACAACACTACGAATAGAAAAGTACTACTGGGCCCGTTTAGTTTGTTGATTCGAGTTGAGATGTGATTTTATGTAAGAGTTTTTTATTGTAATAAAAAGTTAGATGTGACTGTTTCTGAAATTTTTTTACTGTAGCAAAACTCAAATTTTAAACTCGAATCGGTAAAGTGAACGGGTAGTTTATTATGATTTTATGAATATCTATTAATTATGTTATTTTTAAATAATTAAATGTTATTATGATTTTTTATTTTTTTTATTAATTAAATGATAATTGTTTACTTTTTTTAGTGTGGCGACATAAATAATATATTTTTTTTTATCATTTTAAGGGTATTTTTGACTTTTTCGCCACATAAATCCTACTAGGGAGAAAAGCCCCGGGACTGGAAAGGCCATGATCTGGCGCATATGCAAAACTCTTTTCTATGTAACACCATAGATAAATCAACAAAATACCATATTTTTTCACAGAGAGGAATCGAACTTTCTACCAGGAAAATAAAAAAATTCCCGTTCACTTCGTTGATTCGAGTTTAGAATTCGAGTTTTTCTACAGTAAAAAGCTCTCACAAACAATCACATCTAACTTTTTTGTTATAGTAAAAAGCTCTCACATAAAATCACATCTAAACTCGAATTCTAAACTCGAATCAGCGAAGTGAACGAGGCTAACCAAAGCTATAGTATCCTCTTTACACTTATTGGCATTCAATTTCCTTTTGTTTTAGACTACTTAATTATTTGTTTAATAAAGACTACTTATGCACACACATTTCACCTTTTTCTTCGAGGGAGGAAAAAGTAACATTGTTGTTGCTAAGGAGTAAAATCCATCGAGGACAGTTTTTGACTTTACAAAGGGGAACGCTATATCATGCATCTATATATAGAGATAGATAGACCTATAGATTTATACTCAATATCTTTATATCAATAGTAATAGTATCAACTTATATCATTATGTTCTATTCGATGAACAAAGAAAATAGAGATTTTCTTTCGGAGAAATGGCCGAGTGGTTGACAGTTTCGTTCTTGAAAACCGGTATAGTTTGAAACAAAGAACTATCGAGGGTCATTTAATTACATCTTTATATCACAAAACATATATAGTGGTTACTTCATGTACTATTTGCTTTATTTTAATTAACTATAAATACGTGTTTGTATTTCGTGTGTGTTCGTTCTCCACCGTCAGAATGATCTATTCTCATTGATTGCCACTGCAATGGTCGAGATGGTGGCAAAATTCTTAACCATCACAGTAAGAATCAATGGGAGTGGATCATTTTGATGGTGGAGAACGAACACATATGGCATTGGATTATAGTTTTTATTTCGTTGTCAATCTTCTACCCTGCACTAACAAATATTTGAATTCAAGCCAGAATTGGGGAGAAAACATGATACAAATTTAAATTTTATCGGAACAAATTATACAAATTAGTTTGATAAGTGGGTTCATGTCTTTGTAATGTTTTCTTGATTAATTGAACTGATTCACAAACAACTAGACTTTGGGGAAATCCAAAGCACATGAATTATATAAAATTTGATAATTTCTTCTTATTAGTTTTAGTTTTCTTTGCTGTGGGTTGAATACCCAAATTTTACTTGAGAAGAAGTTGTTAATTTGTATCATCGTTTACATAATGCATAATATAGTATTCGTATCATCTTAGTTTAATTGATTTATCCCTTTAACTATATCAAATTATCCAAAAGATCAATAAATTGATTTATTCTAACTTAATTCTTTTATTTTCTTCTTTCTTTTCTATTAATTTCTTTCCGCTATATGCATGTTGATTCCAGTATGTCTTTAATCTTATTCCTTCAGAGGAGAAATTAAGTTTCATAAATTACTTTTAGCTGTTTTCTAGCACTATATAGTCTCTCTAGGTACGAATATTATAACAGTATGGAGGAGAAATTTGAGTAGTGCTAGAACAGTCTTAGTACTTATCAGAAGATATGTCTAAAATAAATTAATCTAATATTCTAGTTAGTACATTTGAAATGATAACTCACATATATCCATTAAACCCTAATTTCATCTGAAGATATGTCCAATTAAAGTACTCTTGTTATATGTTTTAGCCACAAAGAACAAGATATATATTTTAAGCCGGAGGCAAAACATTACATTTAATTTCTTAAGTAGGACCTACGTAAATCCACCATATATATATGGACAAGTTTATAAATATACATATATTAAGCTGAAGAGGGAGCTACTCACATCAGCTTTAGGTTTCTTATTTTTTTGTGAGAGAGGTAAATACAAGTGGCCTGTTTGTTTCACAGGTTGAACCAAAACTTTTTGTTAAGATTTTGTCTCATAAAAAATTTGATTACTATTTAAACTATCTGTTCAAACCTATAAACTAACCGGACAAAAGATGGCCTTAGATTATTATAGTTGTAGAAGTAAACATTTTAAATTTTTTGTTAAGATTTTGTCTCATAAAAAATTTGATTCCTATTTAAACTATCTGTTCAAACCTATAAACTAACCGGACAAAAGATGGCCTTAGATTATTATAGTTGTAGAAGTAAACATTTTAAATTTATAAAGCCGGTTTTTTCAAACAAGATTATTAATAATAGTTACTGAAATGAAAACCTCCAGGGACTAAATCTGAGGAATATCTGATATAAACATTTTAAAAATTATCAAGTAGTTAATGAGAAACAGTACAAGTACTTACATATATATATACACACACATGCATGCAAATGCAAATTAAGTGACAACTGACAAAATTATTTGCGAAATTTCCCCAAAGATGGTTCATGAGTTCTCCAAATTCAGTATAGAAAGGTGAATTTAAATAAATAGCTGTTCTCATTATGTTTAACTGTGACGTTAATATTTATATAATTTAGATGTAATTAGGACTGTTCATGATCATAAGCAAGCTAAAGTTGCAGGGTGTCAAGCATATATATGTGTGTGTGTATAATCGAAAGAAGCTAGCAGTAGTAGTGCATAGAAGAAGCTGATAACATTGATGACAATATAATAGAGGATGTATCCGATACTCTACTATATATCCAATTCATAAGTAATTAATTACACAAAAAGAGTTATATATATATATATAGCTAATTATTTCTTACAGATTATTGCCAAAGGACAAACACTTCGTACGTGCGCTCCTAATAAACCATCATAAGACAACTTCCAGCTCGATGATAATAGCAACCCATCATGAGTAGAAAAATTAAAAAAACCCACATTCAAAATATATCGATATCGAAAACTTCAAGATATATATTTGATCATGTATGCAACAACTTTCCTTTTCATTGCTTTTATTCCCCAGACGATCAACCCCTGGCCCTGCAACGAAGAAAGAAATATTTATTTTCAGTTAATCTAAAAAAGATCGTAATTCATTAAAGAAATAAATAAATAAATAAAAAGTCAGCAAGTACTAATTTAATAAGTTTTCCAGCTCATTAGCATTTGGATTTCTAAAGTAGATAGTTAACTTTAACGGATTATACGTTTTGTTATCTTACTTTATGATAGAACATGATCAAAACAAATAGATATATAAATAGTTGCTCAAAGTTGGAGTATTGCGTCTTTCATCATTCTAGTCTTCTATCCTGTATTGTGACTGGTTTTGTATAACATGCAATGCAAATTAACGCTATAAGAACTAATGGACACACACATATATGTAAGATTAACATTGTCTGTCCAATTTTTTTTGTTTCTCTGTATATCCAATCATTTTTTGACACATTATCTAAAGAACAATAATTGTTTAATTTATTTCATCCACTTTGCTTGCCGAGTTCTCTAATACCTCCTAACCAATGGAAAGGACAGAGAGTGAGACAAGAAAAATAGACGGAGAAATATGGGAATTTCCTGTATAATAAATGATATTGGTATGTAGAAACTACTAATTAAAATCCAAGTGCCCATTTGTAATAAGGAATTAAGAAGATGCCTTTCAAACAAAGAACAAACAAAGAAGAAACCAAACAATTAACAGAGAGCAGACATGCTAAGTCATATGCAGATTTAAGTTGCGTAAATGAAGCTCCTTTTCTTTTCACGCAAAAAGAAGTTAATTTTCGAAATTCATAATCATAATTCATTATCCTAGTCAATGACAAAAGTACGTATGTGAAGAAACTTATTGTATAAAATATTGTAAGACATTGCAATAATATGCATGTTAACTTGAATACAAAGCTAGTTTAAACCAATTCGTACAAAATTTGGATAATTATTTGTGCCTTAATCAAAGGCACTAAGATAATCGTATATGTAGATAATTCAATAACAAACTACATAATTTATAACATGCCAAAAATCACTATGATCATCATCCGTCCTATTATTAAGGGCATATACATGTTATTGCATATATAGTAGGCTATGCTTTCATGAATTAGTGTATACTTGGTCACCTAATTTAACACTACTCATGAAGATGCATTTTATTCATTTACACATATTTATAATGCATAATTTAGAATCTATACACATACTCCGGAAGAATTTTTGACCTATACTTGATAACAATTACTTGGAAACAATATCAATTGTTCCCTACAGTACCGCTCATCCATAAGAAGGGTTCAACATGGAGTGAATTTCACAAACATTACCGATTTAAATATAGCACCGGTTAGCAATTTCGAGATGTACTCGTGCATTGTTAGAACATACATATATATATATATATATATACATACATACATACATACATACATACATACATACATATATATGAGTCGCCTTTGTCTGTGTCAATGATTACCAACCAAATCTTAACACAAGATATATAGATATTTAATCACAAAGTTTGTGTACATAACTAGGCCTTTAATTTGCGTTAATAACCCAATAATTCTAATAAACCTTGACTTGCAGATGATTAAATTCTAGTGAGAGTCTTGTCACTAATAGATCAGACTTCATGTATATACTAAATATTTTTATTATTAGTAAGAGTACCAACTGTATATGCCACAAACTTTTTTTAATTTTCGAAGAGATTTAATTTAAATTCAGAACCATGAGCACCGCTGTGGTTAGCTAACTAAATCATGCTGCATATTTCTGAAAAAAGTACCAATTAATCGGATATAGCATTACATTAATGACGTTAATTATATGTCTAAAAGGTAAAATGTGAAAGAAGTTGACAGGAACCATCTAAAACAATTCAGATAATACTATAGAACCAGATTACTCCAAACTATCAAAGCTATAAGGCGGAAAATACAAAAAAATTAATAAATTAATAAATAAATAAAGAACATAGATTACTAATTGAAACTAGTATACTGAAATTTACCATGGAGGAAGCCGACAAGTACACTGGAGAAATGTTTGAGTAATAAATGACTAATATCATGAATGCTCTGTAAACTATGTACCCTGATTCAACATGCCTCTTGAATTTTAAAATAGATTCACTTCACTTTGAATTATGTAAAATCGTTCAAACACCGCCTTAAGTAATGTAATTTCACATATACCTTCTAAATTATTGATTTTGTGTCAACTTATCCCTAATCTTAAAAAAAAAAATAAATCGGGGAACAAGTTATAACAAAATCTATAATTCAGGGAGAAGATGACTTAAAATTAATAATTTAAGAGGTATTTATATACTTATACACCTCATTATTTTGTTAGTATTGTATACAAATTAAGGAGGTATTTTGAATTACTAGTACTCGCCTATATAATTCAAAACACGAAATGAACTCATTTAAAATTCCAGAACATGCATGTTGAACTAGGGCATATAGTCATCGGCCATTTATTAAAAAGATCTATTAGATAAACTTTGACATTACAATAACACAAGGAGTGCTACTAATAACTCATTCTAAGTTGCTGAGACGTAAAGAGGAAGCACAAATATCAATAGCATAAGATTTTCTCAACAAAAGTTGTAACTGTTTCCAAATAAATTTGAAGGCCAATGGAAAAACTGCTAAACAATATTGTGATCGTGAAAGAACAAACTTAAATGCCCCACAAAATCTTTTGTAGGACAACATGCAAATATGTACAAATAAGAAACAAGAAACAAGAAAACAAGCAACGGATATGCAAGTTCTAAACTGCCCTTGCCTATACATCATATCTTCTGCAATAGAGAAAAGCCATCAGTACGATTCAGTAATGTAGCTAAATGGGACCATTATTTTAAGGCAATAATAAAATAAAATATTTTTTGTATTGCGTTTCCTATGGCGGAGAGATTCGGAATGATGGCTTCATTCAAAAAAAAAAAAAAAATGCAAGTAAGGAAAGCATACAAAAGTTCAACACCAAACAAAACTAAAATATTCATTAAGGAGACCCGTGGGAAACCTTAAACCTTAATTAATCATTTATCTCAATCATTTGCCCGTTCAATTTATCCGAAAAGATCTAAAGCGTAAAATCTAACATGACCTTCATGGGGGCAGAAAATCTGCAGAATCTTTGAAGAGACAGATTACAGAAAGAAAGTTAATACTGTAATAACGTACGATTAATTTAAAATTAGTGAACCAAAATCAACGGTGACATTATGTGTGTGTAATTTATGCTTGGAGATTATGAGAGAGTGTGCATGCGTGTAATATATATACCTGCGTGACTGTGTGAGTGAGAGAGAGAGAGAGAGAGAGAGAAAGAGAGAGAGAGAGTAGTCACTAGCTAGTCACTAGCTAATCGTTCAGATGTATAAATGAAATCGGCTTGAGTGTTTCTAAGAATAAGAATTTGAGACTAACAATACGATTCATGAACTTATTATTTCAACTAATCAGTCCAAAAGGTGTGCATATATGGTGCTAATTTTGTATCAAGGACTAATTACGAAAGAAGTTCAATCTATATTAATTGAAAGAAGTTCAATCTATATTAATTAAGACTGATTTTGCCAATTAGGGTTCACTATCATTGAGTTGGATACAATATGCTAATTATTTAGTTTAGCATGAAAGGAAGAGACAAAACCCACATTGGGATTTGATTATTTTTGGTTTGCTCAGGGTCACTAATGTCAGTCAAACTTATAACCCAAGTATCCACTTTGACGATATATATAATGTAATATAGTTAATAATTCAAGTTAGCAAACTATCTTTTCACCCCCCCTATTTCGTGCTTCTAATTCTTTTATTAATCTTCATGTTTTACAGCTCAAAATCATGCCTGTAATATACATCAAAGTAACCAGATAGAAAAATTAGTCCATCAAATGACCACAGAACATTATTAAGTGTGTGTGTCTGTGTGTATGTATGCATAGATATGCTTTCCAAGAAATTAAAACCAATACACACACACACACACACACACACACACACATATATATATATGATAATGCAAATAATTATAAGTAAATTACCAGTTTGAAAAGGAGAATGAACAATGATCAAGATAGATCGTAGTAATTAAAAGTGCATTCCGGAACTGGATTCGTCATGATCATTCCCTTTGGTGATCTGATCCGGCTTCTTCTTCTTCTTCTTGTAGGGAATTCCCCTAGCCTTAGCTTGACACTCCCTGACCTCCCTCAGATAAACCCTGATTGCACCACTGGCAAAAGGGTTAGTCTCTGGAAACCCTCCGTTCTCTTCATAGGCGGCCCTGAGGCGGCCGATGAGCGCGTCGAGGCTCCCCCACGCCTGCCTCAGCGGGCACGTGCAAGGCGCCGGGGGCTCGGGCTGCCCGTAGAACATGCACCCTTGGACGTGTACTTTTGTCTTCCCAAACTGGTCAAGATACCGGAGGAAGTCCAGCACATGGTTGCAGTTGCACTGTGAGAGCGGCACCGGAGGCCTCTGGTTCTTCAGGTACTGCCCGAAGGTGTTCCAGTCCCGCCTCTTCTGCGACTCGTAGCGGCTAGGAGTTGCCGGCGTCGGCTGATCGCTTCCCGATCCTTCCGCAAAACCCTTGCCTCTATCGATGGACATTGCAGCATCAATGGAATTTTTTTTTTTTTTGATGGATTTTTTTCTGTTTCGGTGATAGAAAAAATGGAGAGACTAGCTAGAGAGGGTGAAAGGAATAGGGAAGATGGAGATCACATCATTGGCCTAATGAGTTGACATGGCATGGGGCCATTATGAATTTGCCTTTCTATATATGTCTGTTCATCTTTTTCTTGATCATTATCGATCTTATTCGTTTTTATTCTCCCCTTTTTGAATAGTGTCTTTGCATATTAACTATACGTTTTCCCCCCCATAAGCATACAATAATTGAATGATTTTTTTTGTTGACAGAAGAGCATATTCAATGCAATATTTACGGGACGTTTGGTTCATAGATTTAAAATTATGATTCATGATTTTTTAAATTTAATATTTTTTATAAGAGAAAAATATTGTAAAGAATCAAAAACTATGATTGAGAACCAAAGACGAACTCTTAAAACTTAGTTAGCGTGTCAATGTCAAATTTTAACTTTTAAATAGGAAAATCGCACTCGATTGCAAAGTTTTATCCTAAATTAATTTTTTCATTTAATCATTACAATATTTGTATTTTAAAATCAAAAGTTTATTTTTATAATTTTTAACTGTAGTAAAAAAAAATTAGATGTGACATTTTTAAGAGCTTTTAACTGTAAAAATTTAGAATTAAAAACTCTAATTGGTAAAATAAATGATGCCTAAATAAGCCTAACCACCGCACTAATATTTCCTAAAACTGATGACATTGAGAGTCTCTCGAACTGATTAGGTGAATGGGGAATCACTAATTTTGGAAGGGCTGATTTTGAAAGGTTTACTAATTTAAATACTAAAGTAATTATGCCGAAGATCTGTTTTCTTTATATCTAATTAATTTGTTCTTAAAGGTTGAAAAATAGATTAGTTTATTATAAAATAGTATTACTATTAAAATGAGCTGTTTTCTTTCTAGCAATTAACCAAAAAAAAAAAAAAAGCCAAAAGAACTGAGAGACTCATTAATAGATCACTTGTCCCCCCGTATATATACTCTTTCTTTTCTTGGAAACTTATGAATATCCTGACCTCTTTTAGTTTTTTTTTTTTTTTAAATTTTGGTAGGATGCAAAATAAACACTTGACTCATAAGAGAATTCCTTTTCAACATCCAACGTAGTACTGTTTATATTTGACTTGCTAAGTATTCTAGTGTGGAAGGGTACACATGTAGGGGATCTCTTAACAAGATTTGGGTGCAAGCTTGATCTTTTGGTTGCCTTTTTCAAAGACATCTGGAATATCCAAACCCTAGATCAATACAAATGGGTGACCACTAATAAGCGTTCTTGTGAATTTTTTTTTTAATTTTAATAAAACAGAAATCTGTGCATGCGTATGAACAGTTAAATGCCGTTTAGTTTATAGATTTAAATAGAATTCAAAATTTATTTTACGGACAATGTTATACTTATTATAAATTGGATTATTCAACAATTTGAATTGCAGCTTTTACTGAAAACAAATCAAGAATGGGATATGCTTGGCATGCAAATTACCTAATGTGGTTGGTTCTATGAACAAAGTTATTACAGTAAAATTCTTACTTGCCATGATTTGAGGGGGGAGGGAACCTCAAGTACACGTCAATTTGATGGAGATGACAACCGACCAATTCAGAGGGTCCCACGCAGAAAGATACCTTCTGCCAAATTCCGAGTATATCTAAATATATATATATATATATATATATATCACAGTTATCGACATCGAGTATATAATGGATGTATTTTGCATTTGCATAGTCATTTTGTACGGACATTTAATGTAAGACCTTTCATTGTTAGAAAATTTACATTTTTCCATATGCATTTAGCCAAGGAAAGAGAAAAGGGGAAAGAAGAGGATCAGGACAAAATTGGCTCAATTATAAGCAATGACCCAGGAGCAAAATTTGCTGGTTATTGTCAGGGCTCGTTCATTTTATCAATTTGAGTTTTTAGTTTTAAGTTTTTACAGTAAAAAATTCTTAAAAAATATTACATCTAATTTTTTCTATTACAGTAAAAAGTTCTCAGAAAATATTACATATCAATTCGAATTAAAAACTCGAATTCGCGAAATAAATAAGATCAGTAATGCATTCATTTCAATTATTCCCAAAATGGCCGTCGGCGGATTATGCTATATCGCCTTGGAGAAAGTACTATGTATATGGTGAAACTCGTGTAGTTGATGTATAACAGCTAGCTACCTCTTCTTTTTTTTTTTTTTTTTTTTTTTTTTTTTTTTTAATAATGTAAGTTCGACGAGAGAAGAGACCCTATAACATTTGACAGAAATGTTCATTAAAAGCTATACATGCGGATCCTATCTCTCGGGATGAGAAACACGTCATCCTACTTCTATGAATGTGCAAACTAAAGAGGACATGCGGACATGGTCTCATACACTCTAAATCAAGTACTAGAGAAATATGAAACAAGCACTTAATATTTAATACTCTTATGAGTAATCCGACACACTTGAATATGTGACTACAAATTCACTACAGTACTACATTACTGTTAGGCCATTACACTGTATTAAAGCTAGCTAGTTGGTTGACACCAGAATTTATCAATTAGAAATTTAGGTCAAAGCTCAATTATAGATTTTGTTTTTTTTTTTTTTGGCATACTAAGGGTCGGTTCCGCGAAGTTTTTACTTTTAATTTTTTTGTAAAAGTAAAAGCTGCAAATACTTTTAATCGGTAAAGGAAGAAAAAAGTTATGACTTTCATGTGTTTGAAATTACATTTTTAAAATCGCTTCAATAAGTCAAATGGTTTTAACATTTTCTAATATGTCATAAAATTATTAGAATGCAATAATATCTTATTTAAGCTCAAATACAAGTTTTAAAATCTATTCATAAGAGTTTTTAAGAAATAACATTTTGTGACTTTGATTAAAAACTTTTTTAAATAGTCAAAACACTTTCAAATTAGAATCAGTTTTTGGTCTTAAGATAAAAATGCGTCTAGAATGCACCGCCAAACTTGCACTAATGAAGTTGAATATCGATATTTTGATGCAACTGATCTCACTAATTATGAGATAGTTAACAAGGGACAAGTGATATATATATATAATATTATAATTTTTTTCTCATTAAAATATTAGGATTGTTTTATTAAAAATAAAAAAGAGAAATTAGGGCAATATTTGATGGAAAATTTTCAAGGAGTGCTATTAAAAAGAAACATTATTTTATTTTTACCATTAAAATTATCAATTTTATTCTGCTAGTGTGAAAATGATGACAACTATCAGTCGTTTTTTAAATCCAAATCCAATGACTGGATTGGCACATCCCAAAAGATGACGTCATGGTTGAGTTTTTTAATTTTTGAAATGATGTCATAGTTGATTTTGTTAAAACAAATGACGTCATAGCTTATATTGAAATGAATCAATTCCTAAAATAAAAAAAATCCGTTTATTTTATCAATTCGAATTTAAAATTTAAAATTTAAAATTTTTTAAAATAATCATATTTAATTTTTTTTATTATAATAAAAAATTTTTATATAAAATTAAATATTAACTCAAATTAAAATTTTAAATCAATAAATTAAACAGACCCAATATATATATATATATTGATTAAACTCCAAAAAGCAATTCCAAGGGCTCGAACAATATACTTGGACTGAAAATAGATGCATGTCACAACAATGTTGTATGTTCTGTTCCCTATGATGTTTTTATTGAAAATTATAACTTACCAAAAAAGAGAGAGAAAACAACATAATTTGAAGTCTCGTTCATTTTACTGATTTGAGTTTAAATTTTGAGTTTTATTATAGTAAAAAATTATCAAAAACAATCACATCTAACTTTTTTATTATAATAAAATACTCTCATATAAAATCACATATCAATTCAAATTAAAAATTTAAATCATTGAACTAGACGGACTTTTAATGTGGTTCGATAATGTCTCGGTATCCATAGACTCAAAGAAATAAGGATAATATTCGGACGGGATGGTGAAAGAGACGGGGATAAGTATGTTCATCTACCTCCGCCCCCGTGAGAAAGACTTCTTCAAGAAAGAAAAAAAAAAAAAATTTATGAATCAAACACATGAAAAAGCATTCTTCAACTGCCCAACAATATGCCCACAACGTTGGAAAAAGAAACGCCCAAAACTATATGGACCTAGATCCCTACTGCCATCCATATAAAAAATTGTCGCCTCAATCTCCATCAGCAGGAGTGATCATGAAAAATATGTTCTCATGAGCGGAAAGCAAAGAGGAAACCACATCTTGAATTAAACTGGAATGATCTGGATCCAGAAAGAACATCCAACTTTCTCCACTAGTCTACTACTTAATATGTTTATACGGGAAAAATATTTAAAACACTCTTTATATTTAATTAAAATACCATTTTCACACATCTTATTATTGAAATACCTGAAACATCCCTTTGTGTTTCTTCAAAATACCAGTTTTATACTGCGTATTTTTTAAAAATGATCTAAAAATAATTTTTATCCCACATTTGACCAGCTAAATTTTTTAGATACCCAAATTACCCTCAATAATCTGTAAGGCAAAATACCCACAATGCCTTTTTGTTTAGCCAACATACATGTTATGTCTCTACACAGGAGCAGAGGGAGTTGGGGCCAAATGCCCCCTGGAATTTTCAGGAAAAAAATTTTTAGCCCCTAAAGTTTTGATTTTTTTTTCCTTTAACTGCCTATAGTTTTTTAACTTTTTTTTTTTTTTTCATATTTGTCCCCCTCGTAATTAACTAAGTTCAAATATGTCTCTACTAATCTAATTTCAAGTTGTGTTTATATCATATCAAAGTGATGTCAAATAAGAAAACTTTTTATAAATGATCCATTAATATAATTGTTCTCATACATATCCCTACTTAAGGTGTTTTTTTTTTTTTTTTTTTTTTTTTGCCATGCAATCCTCTTAATTGTTATCTCATAAATATTGTTCTCTATTTTGCCCTTATTGATGTGTCCCTAATTAAACCTTTTTTTTTTTTTTTACTATTGTGACAGTTCCTCATATGTACTTTCTATATAATTTTCTATCTAATTTGCCCACTAAAATCTTTACTACTCAAA